AATAATTAATAAAATAATTAATATTTACTATTTAATATATTTAAATTTATTTATAAAATTTATTTTTAAAATTAATGATTTTAATAAAATTAAATGTGCTCATAATCTTACCATATTTTATGGTGAAGTCATGAGCTGTTTTCCACTCTCATTACTATTTTGTTTTGTTGTCAGTCAATAGAGCTTTGGGTTTTGCTTTTGCCATTTTGGTTTCAAAGGTACTTCGCAGCTTATGAAACATCAACAGATTGCTGACTCACAACGACCACGACATTGTGGATTGGTGCAATGTTCAACCCTAATGTCACTTCCATGAAACTTCCACCGTCTCCTTATTTATTTATTTATTTACAATAATTTGAGATAATTCTTCCTCTCCTACTTTACTTTGAATACGTAACAGTATAACACCCGATTTTCAAATAAGTTGCTTCCACGAAACTTTCTACAAGAGTTGCCATAACCCCCATCAAGAAAAAAAAAAAAAAAAAGAAGGAAGAAAGAGAGTAAGAAGAAGAAATTTGTGACGAAAAAAGTGAGGCAGTTGTAAAGGATGTTTTAAAGTGGTTAAAAATGTAAAATTTAAAATTTCAAAGTTTTTAATTTAAAATTTAAAATAAATTAAAAAATTAAAAAAAATTTATTATTTATTGTATAGTTTATTATTTATTTATTTATTTTAAAAAGGGAAGGGGGGTGGGGGAAGAAAGAGAGACACGGGTATAAGCATATGATACCCTAAACAACAGGGTCGTAAAATCCTATTGTCGTCGTATCGGTTACGGTACATGAGAAGCAGTTATTGCAAAGAAATGACTATGCAGTTGCTTCATTACCTATTTTCAAAAAAAAAAAAACTATGCAGTTGCTTGTACGTATTTGAACTAAACAGGGAACGCTAAACCTAAAGAACATATTTATCTTGATTGTTGTGAAGATCCTTTTCGTCCTTTGAACCAATTTGTGGGTGGACGAAATGTAATTCTGCAACGAAAGGTAGATATCTGTTGTCAATTGCTTTGATATGTGTTAGGCACCTTTATCTACGCACCAAGTTAGAAACAGTCATAATAAAAAGATGTTGATTATAAATGATTTAAATAGTTTAATAATTATTTTATTTTATTAAAAGTAAAAAATATTGATTTTGAATCATGTAACATATAAATGAAATAAAATAAGTAATAAAAAATAATTGTTTTTTATTGTGTAATAAAAAAAAATGTTAATCACGTAACAATCGCCTATACGAGAGCTCTTCCCTGCAGCAGTTTGATTATGTTAATTCATAACACCTAGCACAGATTGTAGTGTTCTTACTTGGTTTTTTGGTAAAATAAACTCTATAAATTCTTTATTAATAATTTATTAGTTTGAATAAAAAAAAAAACTCAATTATTTAGAAAGTGATGATTAGAGAATTTTCTTTTTATAAAAGTTGGCGTGATTAAATTTTAAATTAATTAAAATCTTATATAATTTCTAAATACCAAAAGTTTATTTATCAAGAAAATCTCTCTAAATTCCCTAATAGCAAGGACTTATTCTTCTATCATTGTTTAAAAGAAACGTACCCTACACAAGACAAACTAAATATTCCGCAGCAGGGTGTTACTGTTGCTACACAATGTCCATACCACACCAACCCCCCCCCAAAAAAAAAAAACTATTATTGAAGCTCGGATAGCAGGTTCATCAGGGCTGGGCGGGGCCTATACTTTGCAATTAAGGGCCGAGCCTTGGGCATAGAAAGCCCAGGTCCTTCGCTCATATCCACCATCTTCTCACTTTCTCTCTCCCAGTCAAAGCACTGAATCAGTGATCCTGTCGCCAAGGGAACCACCCGCACGGCCAAACCTTCGCCGGGGCACCTCCGCCGCCCAGCCCCAAAAGGAAAAAACTTGAACCTATCCCTCTCATCTTCCGGCCCTAAGAACCTCTCCGGTTTGAATTTATCCGGTTCGTCCCACAGTTGAGGATCGTTTTGTATGGCCCACGCGTTTACCAACAGCATCGTGCCAGGCGGGACGCGGAAACCTCCTAC